GTTGATATTTAGCACCTGAAGCCCTGTCATAGTACCCGAACATCATGGTGAGCGCTGACACACACTGAGCACTTGCTACCTGTCAGGTGCTGTGTCCAGTGCTTTCTGTCAATCCCAAAACCCTGTGGAGTAGCACCACTGGCACCTTCTTCTTACGGACAGGTTAAGCTTACATCTCAAGTGGCGCTGCTAGCCCGAGGTGGCCCTGAGTGGTGAACCTGGAGCGCCTCGTGCTCAAGCCCGGCCCTGCACCATTCTGCTGGCTCTGTAGGCATAACTTCATCCCACAACCACAACTTTTCTTAGAAAATTAAAATCAGTTTCAGTATTTATATACATAATTTGTTTTTTAAAGAGGTAATAAAAGCTTCGTATAGTGACCAACCAATAAGTACCTAGTTAGTATGTTATTGTTAGCTTAGGCACATGAAGATTTCAGCCATCAAGAAGAAAAGTAAACAGTATCCTGGTTACTCGTGCTTCGAGTTTGAAGAGAAAGCTAAAAAGCCACTTATTTTATGACACACCTTGCTTTCTACCATCTGTCCAAGGTAAATTTTGAATTACAGTGGTACCTCAGTTCACAAACCTAGTTTGTTCCACGATACTGGAAAAGATGGCCACGTTCATTGTTTATGTGGAAAAAATGGCCACGGTCATGTTTGTCACCTGATACAGTTTACAAACAAAAAAATTTTTTTTTCCAAATACTTCTGTTTGCAAACAAAATTTTTCACAAGCAGAAGCATTCGTGGAATCCCAGCACTCAGGAGGCTGAGGCAGGAGGATCTTTGCAAGTTCAAAACCAGCCTGGGCTGCAAAGTGAGCTCAAGGCAAAAAGACCAAAAAATAGCATTCATGAATTAACAGGTGCTGTAATTTTTCTCTTGCCACCAGGTGGCAGCATGTTACATGAAGAAATCGGCTTTACTTGAAGACAATTTATTTTCAGTAGGTTGCCTTAAAAACTATTAAGCTATAATAAAAAGTGTTCAAAATTCTCCTTTGCCTTTCTTCTCTCCAGTGTGTTCTAACCCCCTTGTTAGCACATTGTGTGGTATACAGTAAAACCCACCTCAGGCCTACCCTGTATTCTCCCTGTTGATGCAGAAAGTCTCTGTTTCTGTCTTTAACTGAGGTTTGAGCCTTTGCGCTTAGATTCTCCCACCTAACTCGTTGTAGTTCAGCAGCGAGGCTTGCTGTCTTCCACTGTACTCAGCAAAGGTATGAATAGGTGACCTGAATATGTCAGAGGGGTCTGAGAGACCAGCGTGTGTGTGAGCTGTGTATTTGACTTACAACGCATTTATACTTTTTGGTGGCTATATTTCTTTGAATTTGTGGAAAATTTGCTTTAAGTTTAGGTGTTATCAGTATCATTCAGATATCTGCTGCGAAGGGTTGAAAGAGTAGTGTGTGAGGTGGAAGGCAAGAGAATTACTGGTGGATGAAGAACATGAAAGTGAAGGACTGAACAAGGCAATGAATCAAAGTGTAGTGAAGGGGGCTGCTGGTACCGGGAACAGAGACAAGCTTCTGCTACTGGGATGGAGCACTCGCTGCATGGGAAGCAAGAGGCCCGCTGCATTCAGTTGTCTGCAGAGAACCTATTTGTACTTCATCCTCATGAGTCTGCCTAATGGTTGTTTATTTTAGTGCTACTGCAGTCATTTGACATTAGGTTCTCTACAGATTTTTTCCTATACTAAAATCTATTGGTTTTGCTTATTGCTGCTTAGTAAAATCTGAAGACAGCTTCCTCCAAGAAAGATGTGAACATAAGCAAAACAAAACCATTATTTCATGTAAATCCAGTGTACCCTTCAGACACTTTTCCTTGTTAAGGCTAATTGAGTTTAATAGAAGTCTTTCAAGCACCTGCTTTATTTTAGCATTGTGCTAGAGACTCAAAAATATGATATACTGAATATCTAAACCTACTTTTAAGGGAACAGCTTTTAGCTATTTAAATTAATTCTGTGAAGAACATTAGGACCATCCTTATTTACCAAGCCATATTTAAAATTATTTTTGGCCATCTTACATATCTATAAAGAATTCAGTAGTCTTAGGGTGGAACAGAAACATGTATACTTCGAAAAATCTCTATGAGAACTGATACTGAATGAACACTTCTTTAAAAACTCAGCCAATTTATTATTACGTAGACGTATGTTTCTCTTTATTAAAATGTTTTGAAACTTAAGTAGGAAGATTTTACCTATGACACCAAAGAGTGTTATCTAAAGGGTTTGTTTGATATCTTAAGAAGCCTTTATAGTATTTAGTTAATGTTCTTTGTATTTGAAGACTCAGCAGTTTCAGTTCACAGCCATACAGTTTAAAAACAGGTATACTTACGTCTCCATGTGTCATGCTGGGTTTCACACCCTGTGAGCTCATTGAAATTCATCATTAATCACTAATAGTACATACTAAATGTTAACTTTTTTCATGAAGCATATAAAACAGCCCATTTATAATGTTCGGAAGGGCAGAACATATTTAAGACACTATAACTTAGTGTCTTAAATGTGTAGAGAGTTGTATGACAGAGAAAAGATAGCATTATCCAAAGCCTACTCCATTGAGATGACAAATTATGAAAAAAATCATTGTTACATTTCAATTAAAGGAAATTAATTGCATGTCTTTCCATTAAAATATATCATAGATTCATGTGGTACAGCTGTGTTTTGAAAATACTTAACAAAATATTAAGTACTGTTCTGGTAATAAAATTAGTAGTGATTTGGGAAATATATAGATAACTTCCTTAAGCCAGTTTTTAAAATGATTTACCGTCATATTGGCAAAAAGGTTGTTTGTTTATATAAATCGGCACATGTGATAATGACCTTTATAATATAAAACTGCTTGGTTATTTGAAGTTATAACTCATTTTTGAGGCGTTCTGGTTCTGTCTACTGTTTTAGTGAAATGTGTACATGTGAATGCCCCTGTAAGCAACTCCAGCCCTGTGAATTTATCTGTCATTGACTTCAGTATTTGATTAGCCTGGTTTCTAAGGCCAGCACCGTAATGGGCGTGTTATTGGAAATAAAGTTAAATTTTTCATTATTTATAAGGATAACTTCAATTTTGAAGAATGTAAATCATTCATAGTTGGCTGGAAGCCAGTTTCTTCTCCACTTTAACTCTAGCACACACATGAAAAGCATACTCATGTCCTAAGTGCCTTGTGAATCTGCAGTGATTAATTCTTCTCATTATTTTGCTGCAAATTCTCATGACCCTCTGTGATGATTCGATCAGCCACTTAGAGTTTATGCATATTCATATCTCAGCTCGTGCTGCAGTCGTCCATGTCTCCTTGGCTGACTGGTGTGTGCTTGGTGCAGTAATTGAGCTGCAGTAGATTGATTACTCTGGGGACCTGTAAGGCCTTTAAAGGTGAAAAACATATCAGTCCTGTTAATTAGGAAACAAAAGCTCTGATGGCAAGTTCAGCAGTCAGATGTTTTCAGTGTAGAAAAGATGAAAGGTAGGATTTGTTCTCCAAAAACTCAGTTTACTTTTTAAATTTTGAATTGTCTGTATCCTTGATATAGGAGAATAACTTCCTTATGAATTTTCAGAATGCTAACTGAAGAGATTAGTTCTGTTACCTCTTTTCAAATCTGATATTTTAGAACCTGTCAGTTTATTTATACCTTCTGTAGCATTGGCGATAGTCCACATTTTATGTAAATACAGAATGTGTATAAATTTTCTTTCAAGGGCTTTTGTGGGGGGATTTTTGTTGTGTCTGCTTTTCAAGCAGTAGGGGTTGAATTTGCCGCCTCGTGCATGCTGGACAAGCACGCTACCACTAAACGGTGCCCCTAGCCCGTTACGGGTCTAATTTAGTCGATGATTTTGTAACCCTTAATCGCCTTCTATCTCTTTCACATAAACTTTCTAATGCTTTCCTTCTTCAATTCTGTATTAAGTAATATATAGCAAAAGAAGGCCCTGTGCGGGACAGTGTCCTCCCAGAGCGAGCTAGTTTCCAGCAGAGGGTAATACAGGTTACCTGCCTGGCAGGTAGTGTTCTTGCATGTTTTCATTTTATGATACTTTGCCTCCAATCTTGATTTTTTTCTTTGAAATATAAATCACACACCATAAAACTCAGCACAGTCTATCAATCACAGATGGTTTTCATCACTGTGAAGAAAACCCCATACTCGTTGCCCCATTACTGCCCACTCTCCTCTCCTCCTAAATCCCCTGTAAGCAATAATCTACTTGCTATCTCTGTGGAGTTGCCTGTTGTGCGCATTTCATATAAAGGCGGTGGTACGATTTATAGCCTTTTGTGCCTGCCTTCTTTACTGTGCATGTTTTCAGGGTTCATGCACACTGTAGCATGAATCAGCACTTCTTTCCTTTTTAGGGCTGAATAGTGTTCTGTGACTAGCCCATATTTTTGTTTCCCACTGATGTCATTTGTGGTGTTTCTGCATTCTTACTGCTGTGAACGATGCTGCTAATAATGCTCATAAAGATTCACAGACATTCTTGCCTAGTTCTTGATCTTACGGGGAGAGCTTTCAGTCTTCAACACTGAATGTAATGTTCGGTGAGTATTTCTTAGGTTCTGTTTACCAGGTTGAGAAAGTTCCCTTCTATTCCTAAATTGATGAGTGTTTTTATCACGGAAGATTGTTGACATACCTATTGAGGTGGTCGTCTGGATTTTATCCTTTATTTTGATAATTGAGTATATTGTTAAATATAAAGTATATTATTAAATAATAAAGGACATCAGTTCATATTCTCTAGAGCTAGTTTTTTGGTTTCTGTTTTATTTTTTGGAGACAAGTCGCACTGTGTGGAGGTTGGCCTCAAACTCCAGGTCCTCCTGCTTCAGCCTCTGGAAGTTGGAATCATAGATGTACACCCCTGCACTCAACATCTTGGGAATTTTATGTAATGTTCTTTTACAGTGTTAACGTTGGATGATGTGAACCCAATTCCTCTACTTTATATTTCAGGCATTTATTAATACAGCAAAAGAAATATATGAGAAAATTCAAGAAGGCGTCTTTGACATTAATAACGAGGTATATACATATAAATATTGGTTAACATTAATTTAGAATTGACTTTTATTTACTGTTTGGATTCATGATTTAATGTTTTCTGAAGTCCTAAAATGCACTGATAATAACTAGTTACCAGTCGTCTAACTGAAAACCTGTTATATATAGTACAGCTACATAATGTCCTAGTGGAGCATCACTGTGTCAGTGAAAATGGATTAAAGTAAGTGGCCCTGTCCGTTTATTCCATGTGATGCAAAGTAATTTAAATCCCCCAAAGAGAAAGCAAGTCCACTATATCCACGTGTCCATATGGCGTCATCTGCTTTGGAGAATAATGTTGCAGTGGCGAATGCATGCAGTGCGTCACTAGCTCAAGATGCTCCCTCTGTTTTCTGGTATGAAAGGACAGTCCTAGTTTGGAAATTATTCCCAGTATAGCAAAGTATGTTTTCAGAAGACTAAATTAATAAGTACAGTTGGTGATTGTCAGTGAGTTTTTGTACTTCTGACAGTTTTTGGTCAATGTGATTAGGATAAAATGTAAAACTTTGGAGTGTGCAACCCATAATGTTCACTGGCTGTCATTTTGACCTAAAGTCCCAGTCTCCATTTATTCTTATTTCAAAGTGTTTATGTGAATAGGACATGTTATTCATTACATATTCTTGCCAGTCAATATTAAGACTTCTGGCTCCTAAGAGAAAAAAACTGGTTCCTCCCCCAGTGGCACTCAGAAAAGTTCTGTGTTGTGAAGCTGTCACATATGTGTCTCTTGGCTTCTACACGGGCACCACTCTCTCTAGTATTTGCCTCGGTAGTCTCTGCTAAAATAAACAGTAGTTTGGCTAAGGTTTCCAAAAAGTAGTTTTGCCATTCTTTTTTAGGTGCAATAATATAAAACCTATCCTCTAGACTTAAATGGTAGTACTTCTGAGTTCATTTAAAAGTGACGCCATTCAGAGACTAATACCCTATAAATTGAATGGTAATTGGGCCTCTACTTAAAAGGGCACATTCATTGTTTCTGTCTGGTTTCATATAGTAGCTGACTGCTTTACTGTGCCTTACGCAGCTTTGATTGTAATGTGCTGTCAGGAGCCAACAGGCCCTGCTATTTATTTGGCCTAATGCCAAATCTGACTCCTTGATTCCTCAAGAAGTTGCTAGCGGCCCGGAGGGGGCAAAACCAATGAGCCATAGGGCATGCTTTTTATTAAAGAGGAGTCAAAAGAGCGAAAAGAAACCACGTCAGCTGCTGTCAATACTGAGCGAGTGCCAGAAACCCCAAGGCTACTGCTGTTGCAGAACAACTGCCAAGCACTATAAATCTGAGATTTACTGTGACGTAAAGTTTCCTTAAGAGCTTAATTTCTGAAGCTACTGTATTACTTTCCTCAAAGTGTTGTATTTTTAGGTGAAATCCACTTGAGGGAGTGAGGGTTAAGGCCTAAGTGTGAGTTTGATGAATGAAAGACCCACTCTGTGTGTGGGTTCCTGGCAACCTGCCATGTCTTTGGGGATCATAGAAATTATTGATGACACAGAACATTCATATGCCCTTAGCCTGTACAGCTGATTCAACATGGAACAGAAGTGCTGTCTGGAGAAAAGATTTTACATCGCGTTGGAGCAGCAGGAGCTTTGGATATTTTTATCCTTTAAAGATTCTTCGCAATAATTGCTTTAAATAATTTCTCCATTATGAGAACGCCTTGAGAAAGCAGCATTCTCTGATTTTGTTTTCCTAGTAGGAATTATTTTCAGAACTCTGAAAAAAATGTTTTTAAAAGAAGGAACATCTCCTCCTAAGAGATAGTTTTAATGGTTGCTAAAATTTACTTAAAATGTATCATTAAGAATTAAATGAGTTTTTAAAGAATTAATTAAATTCTGTTATCTGGTTGGTTCCACTTACGTCTGTTACTGTCTTCTATTTCAGGCAAATGGCATTAAAATTGGGCCCCAGCACGCTGCTACTAATGCGACACATGCGGGCAGTCAGGGAGGACAGCAGGCCGGGGGAGGCTGCTGTTGAGTCTCTTTTAACTGTCTCACTGCCCAAGTGGGGCTACTCACTTACTGTTTCACCCTCTCTGCTCCTGCTCCGCTGAGACGTGAAGCTATTTGAAATGGCTTTGTGTCACAGAAGACTTTAATCCTTCAAATTCTTGTATAACTTTGAATAAATGGTTAATGTTCACTTAAAAAGACAGACTTTGGAGAGTGTATTCATATCTATTTGCATTTGATTTCTAGGTCAACTGATGTGATTATTTTTGTTAAATGTTGTCTAGTGCCCTTAACTACAAACTGAATTGTATTAAACACTACAAAGTCATCTTGAGTATTTTAAATCAGTTTGTGTAGTTAGGTTTCCCAGTACCTGTGGTTACCTAATGTTTAATATTATAGAACTGTCCTCAAAAAGTTGTCAATTTTCAAGGCTATAAAGAAAAGCAGAAGGACTCTTTTAATTCTGTATTTATCATTTACTTTCTGTATATATAGTTTAATAACCTGCTTGGGTGTAATTTGCCAAGCTTGAATTCTTTAATGCATTTGCATAAACTCTCTACTGTTTAGAGCTTAAAGCTACAGAAGCATTGTTAGGAGTTGCTTGGACATTGAATTTTAAACTTTTTGACATTGTTAAACAAGCATGTTCATCTTTTCTTGTCACTAGTCCAAGAAAAATATGCTTAATGTATACTACTAAAGCTATTTATGTGTTAACCTGTTTTAATGCCAAAAGTTTGCTATTTTGTCCACAGTTTCCTTAAGAACTCTTTAGAAAAGGATTTGTTTGCCTTAATGAGTACTGTTGTGTGAAAACAGTATAATGAGTGGAAAGGGCAGAAGCAAGAAAACCCTATATCTGAGCTACTCCAGGAAGAATGAGTGTCCACATGTAGACGGCACATGATGAGGACTTAATCTTTCTTTAAACACAATAATGTTTTCTTTTCTTTTATTCACATGATTTCTAAGTGTATTTTTCATGCAGGACAGTTTCTCAACCTTGATGTACAGTGACTGTAAAATTTTTCTTTCAGTGGCAATGTATAATCTTTAAGATATGGTAAGCATCTTGTCTGTTTTGAAGGGGATATGACAATAAATCTGCTGGATGGAAAATCCTGTTAAAAAGTAGAAGAGCTTTAGTAATCTACACAGTGTGATGGTTTTCACCCTTTTTTTCTTTTTCTCCCCTGGTCTATAATGGAATTGTTATAGCAGTGCAAAATAAAATCCTATGTATAAAAATGTTCCCTTTTTCATGACATCTTTTTTTTAAATTTACTTTGTAGTCCACTTGGTGCTTTTCTGTGTACTTAACTGTTTTTTTTAAAGGATCAGAATGCTTAACACTTAGCTTTTTAAAAATTTACTAAAATATGATAAACCTCTTTCACTATACTGAAATCCTTGTAGGAAATATAAGCAAGTACTTTCTACGCAACTGGCACAAAAGCATCTACGTATGCCTGCGGGAGGGCGGAAAGAAGTTCTAAGTGTGACACTACCACTTCCATTCGCTTGCAGACTTCAGGTCTCTCCTGCAGGTTCAGCAATACTCTTGGCAAAGCTTTGATGTCGCTCTCGTGGAGATCATTAGATGCTGTCATAGTTTGTTTTATTGCACTCCTGCAGGACAGAATGAAGGGTGAGGGGAAATCTAGTTTGCATGAATACATTTGTTATAAACTTCTTCCTTAGAGTGATCAGAACAGACTCGCTGATCTCATGAGTCACTCTCTTTACTGATGAGTAAGAAAAGGATGTGTTCTGCTCTATACCAAGAAGGAAATGATTCGTTGAAAATGTTTAAACTGCTTTGAACTTTTCCAGATGTTTAGTGTGTTTTTTTACACACCAAAAGTTCTTTTCTAAACCAATCATAAGGAGAGAAATCAGTAATAAAAAAAATAAGCAACAGCAAGCCAACACCTGTATTTTAAAACCCTAAGAAAAGGTGGAGCCTTCGAATACAACTGCTGCCGCAGCTACCACAGCACGCTTCAGTCTGGGGCAGCGAGGCACCTGGTGGACTGCACTGCGGTTCTGCCTCTGCGAAGCTCATCTACTCCTGAGAAATGTTATGATCCTTTGGTAATTGACAAAGCAGTGTTATTATCTATGAATCCACTCCAGACTCGTTTTATATCCTTGTCACAAATAATGTCACATTGGTACTTGCAGTGGAATCTTCCATACTGTAATCAAGTTTTTAATTGATCTGTAATCAGTTTTATAGAATCTGTGGGCATGTTTTAATAGCTAGAAGTTGGTCATAGAAAAAATAAATACAGCTTTTAATGTCTGTATATAACATTCCAAAATTGCAATCTTCATAAAGACATTGTTACCGTTTGTCTTGTAAATTTTAGAAAAATACCCATTTTGAAAGAGTAGCATGTAATTGGATATACAGTTTAATATATGGAAGTTAAACTGGATTATTGTTTGTTTATAAGGATATTCTAAAATAGTCTGTTAGCAGAAAATAGTCTGTCTCTATGTGCTGATCGTCAAAAGGGTAGGGAGGTAAATGGCACCAAAATATGTCTAATCACTTAGGAAAAAATGACTGCGCCTGCATTGGAACACAGTAAATATTTATTCTTTCAGGGGAAGAGAAGCTTGTCTCATTTATCCCTGAGGTTGGAAGTATGAGGCTTGACTAACAATTAAAAAAAAAAAAAAACCTTTTTCATAATAAGAACTGGCTATATAGATAAACAGCCTAACACAGCTGCCTGTGTTTCTTAGATTATACACCTGCTTTGGTGTTCAAATTAAAAGAGAGCCTAGGGGCTGGGGATTTAGCTCAGCGGCAAAGCGCTTGCCTGGCAAGCGCAAGGTCGTGAGTTCGGTTCCCGGTACCGGAGAAAAAAACCAAAAAATAAAATAAAATAAAATAAAATAAAATAGAGCCTAACCCTACAGTAGAGTATTGATATATACTAATGATACACAGACTTACTTGGTTCAAGTCATGATGGGAAATTTTAAAGTGCCAGTATATGTATTAGTATTAGTTTACAAGATCATGAGGCCCACACTCAAATATTGGAAGACAAAAAAATCTTTATAGGAAAAAAAAATTTTAATGAGCAGCTTATAAAATGCATTTTAAAAATATAAACATAATATGAGCTGGTAGATTTTCTAGTTTGCTTCAACATTATAACCTTTTTACTCTATCCAGTAACAGGTTGCATAACTTAAATATATACAATAAAATGTATTTTTTTTTTTAGACACGAGCTGGGCGTTGTGGCACACGCCTGTAATCCCAGCCTTTGGAAGGCTGAGGCAGAAGGATCACTGTGAATTCTAGGCCAACCTGGACTACGTAGTGACACCCTATCTTAAATACATAATTCAAACACAATTAGAGAAATGCAAGTTAAAATTGAGGTATTGTTTCTTACCCATGACACTGGCAAAAAAATAAAAAAGTATAACACCAGCTCATCATTTGGGTGTTGGAGGGGGTGCAAACTGGAACTCCTTTTCTGGAGAGGAACTTGGCAGAATGTAGTAACGTTATGTACACTTGCAATGCCCTTTCTAGGGAGCTGCCCTGCAGACAGTCCAGCAATGGAAAAGCTCATGTGCACCAGGTTACTCTTTACAGCATTGATTGTAATGGCAAAAATACGGGAATCACCAAGGTGTCTGCACATAGCATGATTAGTAAAGTAGATCCACACAATAGAGTCCTACACAGCTCTAACAAAAATTGGAGGAAGATCTCTAAACTGGTACAACTTCCAGGATATATTGTTATGTGACAAAAACTATAAAAATATCTGCAGTTTACTGTCCATATAATGAAGTTCAAATATGCATGTATCTGTTCATCTGTGCAAAAGAACCTTAGAATGAACTAGTTGCAGAGAGTGGATGAATATAGGTAGAAAAGAGTGGGTGGGATGACAGGAGGTGACACAAGTCTGCATTTTTGCATAGCTCTGAGTCTGAACTATGGTCATGTTTCAGGTACCCTAAGCGTGATGAAAATCAACGATGGTGTATGGAAATTTAAAATAAAATACAAACGTGTAAAACTGTAAGAAACATTGCCACGATAGACAGGTAGGGAAGAAAACCAACATGCGCTTAGTAACTTGGAAAAATAGTGTAATCAATGTAAAGCTAAAGGCAAAATGAACTGTACACAAATATTGGACTCTGTGAAGGGGCTCTGGGTTAGCAATTCTAAAACTGCCTTTTGTGTATACTAAGACTGAGCAAATAAGTAAATGTATAATGGGTGGTGAAAGCAGAGTTTCTCCTTACGGAAAAGAGTTGCCAATAAGAAGTGAAAAGGCCCAGTGATGTCAGTTTGGGGTTGGAGACTGTGAAGCTCGTAGGCGTCAAATGTGGTCCCTAGACTTGCAAGTACAGGGAGATGGCTGTGTGAATGTGCATGCATATCCAGCCTGGTGTGTGGAAAGACACTCCAGTAGCGGTGAGCACACTCCCTACCCAGGTACTGGTTCCTAAATACCTTTCTCTAATAAAGAGAACTGAGGCTGTATGAAGAACTGGTTCATTTCTGGGCTAGGACAAGCAAGTTAATGAGCCTGTGATGCCAAGACGTAAGAAAGTGTTTAGAAACTGCAGGGAAGTGGGGGAGCAAGTCAAAGTTGAACCTTCCTTTTGCTTACTATTGCCACCTCCAGGACAATTTTAGAAACTGATGCTAGTAATGGATTGTAAGCCACAGACTGAAAAATACCCATGACTTTATGTTGATAGAAATAAGTGATTGAAAAAAGTGTGGGGGGCCCCTTTTTACGTTAGAAGGTAAAGATCTAAGACGTTGTAAACTAAAAGTCAACACAATACTGCATTGTTAAAAGCAGAAAAACAATGCTGAAACTAGTGGGCAAAGCACAGGGCACAAAACAGCATGTCTGAAACTCCATCCCTTTAAAGAACTTTATGAAAGGAAAGACGCTAACGTAATGAGAAAACTTGGGAGACACCACCTTCAACTGAGAAGTCTGAGGACAGCAGGCACCTCCTGATGGTGCGCAGCGGAGGGGACAGTTCTGGGGCATTGCCCAAAATGTAACCTCAGCCCAATCATGGTGAAACCCCAAACTGAGTGACGTTCTACAAAGCGTGTGGCCAGGACTCCACGAATCCCAACGCTGTGGAGGTAAGAATGAGGAACTGTAATGTGTGGAAGGAGATGAGCAGACCTGACAAGTCGGTCTAGCAGTGTGGAATGCGGCCTTGGATCCTGGAACAAAAAATGCCATTCATGGGGAAAATGGTGAACTATGAATGCCTCTGGAGATTTTTGAAATTTTAATCATGTTTGTTTCCTAACTTCGTTGATTGTTCTATAGTTATACAGGAGGCTAACGTTGAAGGGTAGATGACAGTTATATGAAAAGTGCTTTTGAAATTTTCTATAATCTTAACATTGTTTCTAAGCAATAGGCTAAAAAGTCATGAAGGAGATGAAAGTCAGTGCAAAACAATAAAATGGAAATGGCTTTGTCTTCTAATAATGCTAATTTGCCTCCTGGCAGTTGTACCTGTCTTCAAATACTTCCTTTGTAGTTAGTGAGAAGAACACACTCTAGAGCAAATATTCTTTCCCAAATTCTTTCTCAAAGCACTAGAACCAAAGTTCCCCTCTTCATGAGGCTTATAAACCAGTGTTTAAGTTCATGGTTGCTAAAACAGGCCCTTACTAAGGAATTGTTATCATTATCCCATGTTAAGATTATATTACTGTAAAAATCTTCTAGATTTATTTTTATCCAGTGTCAGTTTTCTCTTGGTGCTGTTATAAATTACCACAAAATGAGACTTTGAAACATACCCACTGTATTACAGTCCTGGGGATTAAAGCTGACTAAGCTGAAATCAAGGTGTTGCTGGTAGTGTATTCACTTCTGAGTTGCCAGGGATAATTGTTTTCTTGCCTATCCCAGCTTTTCAGACCAATCTGTGCTCCTCGGTTAGGCTACCCTGGTCCACCTCCAAACCACCTCGCACATGTGAGTCCCCCACGTCTCATGACTCGGATGTCTCTTCTGCCTCGCTCCTTCACCTACAGGCACCTTGTCAGTGCTTTGCGTTCAGCCCCACAGTCTAGGATAATCTCATCTCAGGGTTGGCTGATTAGCAAGTTTAATTCCATCTGCAGCCTTAATTCCCCTTTGTTATGTAACAGAACAGATTCGTAGGGTTGGGACATGGGTGTCGTTAGGGGCCATTAGTCTGCCTACTGCAGTTT